GTGTAAATTGTTCGGATCAGCAATTCATCTACTTAACTTTTCCATACTGAGAGGCACCCTACAACACTGTCCTCCTGCAGCAGCAGACTGGCACTCTCAGTGACTTGGTTGCTCCTCACACTTCTTCCAACAGTGGCAAAACTGAATTACAATTTATTTTCATTGCATTTGTGTAGAAGTTTGAATAGTGACTAAGTGGTCAGTTCTTATGGCAGCTAGTAGGAAAAGCATGGCCAAAGTTTCAGGAGAGAAACCTGCACCAAAATCATATCTTCACAAGGCTCCTGAGATGAGCTCTGCTCCCTCCTTGGACCCAGAGGAACCTAATTTCCCAGCTGGCCAGGGGTCATTGTGTCTAGAGAGCCAGAGCAAGGCCTTGAGGCTGACAGGGCTGTCTAACAAAGAGAAGGTGAAGATGCTTTTTCCTCGCTGTTAACCAGTGTTAAAATACTGATCTGACTTCTCCAGTCCTAGCCTTCCCAGAACGAGTTCAATTAACACATCCTAGAGCTGAGCTTTGGAGACTTATTTTAATGTTGTGGTTTAAATCCGTTGTGTTTAAAGTAATTTTTGGAGTAAGTAATTTTCCCTCTGCTGTTGCCTTTGTTTCCCCATTTGACTACAGCAACTAAGGAGATTTTCTTTCATTTAAAATTCTCTTGAGTACAGGCATGAGAGACACAGCAGTAGAAACACTAGATGTCTGGATTTTTTACCTAGAAAAAGCATTTTTGTAACACACAGCTTTTAAATAGCTTAACAAATCCAGTACCTGATGTGACTGTGACCATGCATGCAAAGTTTCTGCTTGTACAGGGAGAAAAAGATAAATAAAGCTGACTGTAAATGGAAGTGCTTTCCCATCTTAACTGTATGGTATTATCATCAATCACTAAAACCTTTTTCCTGTATAATCTCACTTTTTTTTTCTTGATACCCAGTTTCCTCAGTGATATTGTAATTTCAGCATTTATAGCCTTACATGGTTTTCTTTGTTGCTGCCTGTTAGGATATTGGAATAGTGACAGCAGGGAGTGAATAAAGCAGGTATAGCCAGGTTAGTACTTAATACACATACAAAGTCTTCTCTCAGGGAAGTGATTAAAACCATATAATTAAAGTTATTTATAATATGATTTGACAAATAATTGAAAAAGAGGTGACAGTACAGTACAATAAACGTTTTTCTTCTCTGATATTACTGTGTTTGAACTGTCCCTTGTACTATGTTTTTGCAGTTCAGAGGTCAGTTCAGGAACAAAAGTGATTTTTATTTTGTGCAAAAGGAAGTGTGTGTGTGTATATACATCTGTGACGGGTTTTTTCCTTCTATATATACATAAGATACATAACGTAAACTTATGTTATCCATTACTGTGATGCTCTGACATATTTCACACTAGGATTTACTACCAATCCTCAAACAATTATTTTTATTTTTTTTCATAAGGGGCTCATGTTCAAGTTTTAAGTTTGGCAGAGCACACAAATTCATTAGCAGAGGTCAGGCATGCAAAAACCTTGACATTTCAAAATGAGTCCTGGCCTGGCTTCTGAAGTGGTTAGAAACAAGGTATTTTGGGTAGATGTTTACTTCCCTACTTCTGCATTAAGCTAGACAGTCATCAATTATTTTGTAAGTCAAGGATGAATTTCTGGTAAAATTTTTTCCAATTTTCTCTTTCATGATTGTGATTAAACAGCCTTCTACTCTTGTGTTATTTTCTGTAATTTCAGCTCAATAGCTATCTACTTTTTGATACATGAAAATAATTAAATGGTGATTGGATAAATAACACATCTGGAAACAGAGCAGAGCTGGATAAATAACAGATGAACATCACCTTATTAGTGAGACTCAAAAATATTTTTCCATCTGGGTAAGGTCCTGAGCTGAAGTTACCTTTTCAGCCCTTTTCTCAGAGAAGAGAAACCTTGTTGTGCAGAATGAAACTGGAATAGTTACAGGGAAAAATGCAGTAGCTCTTTGCACGTTTTTAGTAGCAGAAACAAGAAGAAAATCAAAGAGTAACTGACACAAACCTCTCTTGGTCTTGGACCAACTTTTAGCACTGATGGTCTAGGAGGGGAGACTTGGGCTGGGAGACCAAAATCTAGCACAGCTCTGATAAGATATTGTAACAAACAGGAAAAAGCCACCAGCACTGTTGTGTTCATATTTCTCTGTCAGCTGGAGCAGCTGCTACATACAACTATCAGAGTAGCAGCTTAGCAAATGCTCTGAATTGCATTTTCAATCTCTTGTCCCTGTCTCTCTAGGGAAATGAGTTAAGGATGTGCAGAGGAACAATGCAAATAATCTTTTTTCTCAGGAAAAAGCAGCTTAATTCAAGGAAGTATTGAAAGCCAGATAAAATGAGGTTTAGGCTGTTATCATATCCAGAGATATTTGAGGTAGTAGTCTGTATATTGATGGCAATTTAGTTTGAAAATAGTATTTATTAACCCAAATATGTTAGACTTGAAAAATTAAGCAATATGAAGATAAGAGATACTGTACCCTGGATGATAATGTCGAGGTTGGTAAATGCCAAAAATGCAGATGAAAAGGCAAATTCATGGGAATGGACAGCATGCTAGGCAGGGCAAGGCTGGAGAGAGAGCAGCAAGAAGAATACCAACAGAAGAGACCTACAGAGAGACAAAATCGGCTAAGTCTTTGAAAAAAATCCACCAAAGACAGAAAGATAATATAGAATTAAAAGCCTGGATTAAGGTGCTACTTTCTCCCTTAGGATCTGCAAGGAAAAATTAACATCTGTTTCTCCTTCCAGTATAGAGGTCAGTTACAGAGCTTTATTCAGGTGGTGGAGTTTGATAGACATAATTTGAAGTAAATGATAACTGTATTTATAATTCTCACAATATATAAATTGGGGGATTTGGAGGGGGATTTTTTTTATAAAACTCTTCTTCTACCAGATGAAGTGCCTATGTACCCATAGGTGCTACAGAACTATTGTACTTTTTTCTGATTTTACTGAGTTTTATTTGCCCTTGGGATTACTGTAGAGTAGGCATATTTGAATTAAACTATAATACCAGAGTGGTACAAGTGAGCAGAAGTGTTAGTACAGCACCCAAAGCTATAAAGGTTATTTTGTGACAGTTTTCCAAACATACAATAACAAAAACACAACTTAAATGTTAAATTCACTTTGAAGCAAAAGGAAATACTAAAATAAAACCTATATATGTTGCAGTAGTTACCTCACTTGCTACTGAAATGCAACTGTTCCTGGGGATGTGGCACAGGTCTGCAAATACCTGGGAACAGTTTAGGAGAAGTTTGAGAATAATTTAGTGTAGTGACATAAATAAAATAAAAATACCAAAGTGCACAAGGATGACTAATGTACACTGGAGAGTAACGATAAGGGATTGATGTAATGTGTCTTTCAGAGAACTAGACCAGAGCATTATTTAAATAGTGTTTTTTATTTATTTAAAACTATTTTGTTTTGGTTTGTAGGAGATGTGGGAGGTGTGTGCATCACAGTTTAACAAGCATTAACAAGGCCTGACCATGTCTTGGTGATGTCCATCTGAAGTGCATCTTGAACAGTAGTAATGAAATCTGTCCTTGCTATCTGAGCTTTAAAAAGACAAATAAAAAACCTACAGTGGTTGAACTGTTTATGTGTAAGAGTGGATATTACTTCTGTCACAGCTCAGAAAGTATTTCCTTCAGATGATACATAATAGCTCTTTTTTTACTGTATATTTTTTACAAAATTTGTTTAAAAGTTCAGTTTCTAATCCACTGAAAATTAGTAGCATCAATTAATTTTTACTGCAATCTAGCTGGTTAATTTGATAAAGAGTCTGTCGGCATTTCTTTTACATATTTTCTTCCTTCGGGTGCCTTAAAAAACTCCTGCTGCACTGTGTGCTATCCAGCCATTTGTGGCTTGAAACATTGCCTAAATGCTGACTTATGTTTCCCCATTTTTAGGCTGTAGCTTTTATGTCTGACAACTCAAGTCTTGCAGCAATAACACTGAGTTCCTGCAATGGTTAGAAAAGCACCACCCACTGAAAAATATCATGTGCCACCATTTTACTGCACAGTGAATCAATCTACTTTGGAGGGCTGCAATGTCTCATTTGACTCTCTAGCTGTTTTTTAGACATGAAGATCTTATATAAATTCCAAAGTCCCTTTGCCTTTCACAGCTGATCACTTTTTGGAAAAGTCAAAGTGGGAGATTTCTGGCTGACTTCCACGTGTAGGAGAGCCTTCAAAAGGTCCTTTCTACATGTGCTCATTGTACTAATATTAAGCCAACTTTGCAGAGACTTCACTGCTTGGAAGTACTATCTCCGTTCTGTCACCAGCCTTATCTGTTAAATCCCAATGAGTGTGAAAAACGAGAAAAATCTGGGTTTGCTTGGCTGTTTCAACAGCATGTTGAGAATGGCCAGATTGCTGGAGAAGACGATTCTCTTGGAAACCCTAACAGCCCAGCCTCCTCATCTGTAGGCACAGAGAGCTCATCTGAGTGTGTAAATAAAAATAAATAATGCAGTGAAAAAATATGCAGAGTATTTCGCTGCAGTGTTTCGATTTTGGATCTGCCATAACTAATTTAAATCTTCTGTTGGGATTTATGCAGGCAAGGGGTCAGGTTTATGACGTTTGTAATTTAAAGCTTTTTCTGCTACTACATCTTTTCTACTTTTATGTCCTATCATGGTACCTTTTTGCTGCAAAGGAAGTCCCTTTTATTCCCTTTTCCTTTGCTGCTTTGAAGAGAACATTTGCTTCTCCATTTATCTGAGGTAATGAGACCTGATTCTTTAAATCAATCTAATTGGGCTTCTTTTAGTGTATAGAATATCCCTTTTTTGCAGAGGAATTTCATTTCTTTGTGCAGTCGCTCTATCTCCAGTGCTCAATATCTCACATGCCTGTTTAATTTAAAAAAAAAAGGCAAGCAATTGTCATCCAAATGGCTGTGGTCTATTCTCTCTTGCAGGCTGATTCACGGAGGGCAGCTGTTAAATGGCTTGGCAGGGCCAACTGTGATGAACGCGGCACCATTTCTGTCCACGACCTGGTTTTCTCCGGATGAACGAGCCACAGCGACAGCCATCGCATCCCTGCTCAACTACCTTGGCTGTGCTGGAGCCTTCCTGGTGGGGCCTCTTGTGGTGCCATCTCCTAACGGGACAGCTCATGGCCCACTGCTGTCACAGAGCAGCACTGAGCACATCAAGGACCGCATCGAGGCTGTGCTGTATGCAGGTGTGGTTCAAAAATGAAAATTTAAGAGGAAATAAGAAAAAAATATAGAAAAATGTCTGTTTGGTACTTGTGAACCACTACCCTCTAGTGGCTGGTTTGCACAGGAACCAGTTTCTGACTGAGGGAAAATAGTTAAGTGGTAACATATTGTACCATCAGAAGGGTTATTTTTTTCCCCTTTTGTGTAGGAAAGATTTTAGAATAGCCTTTTGTACAGACTGACTCCAAAGGAATTATTTCAGATGTTTGTATTGGCTGATCTTGGGAGAAATGTCTTCTCGGAGAGCTTAGACTTTCCCTGAGCTTCCAAACTGTTTTTTGCTTATTGAATTTTCATAAAAAATGTGTGTCCATGACAGGTTGGGATTTTTCTATTGTTTCCGTAAGGATGGAAATCCAATAGTCTTTTAGCATTAAACTGTTTCCTGCACTAAATCAGCCTTAATTTATGACTTGCACTTGCCTTTCAAATGTGGTTAGATTATTATTATTATTTAAAAATCTAACACTGAAATTAAAATGCAATAGATTTTGGTTTTAAGTAAACTCACATAATTCTTATTGGTGAGCAATTCCAATGAAGTGACAACAGCTGAGTATAAAAAAACCACTGATATAAAATTTACCTGATATAACTTGGATTTTATGTCCTTGCTCTTTTTCTTGCAATGGCTTCTGCAGCTCTTTGTGTGACTTATAAAAATTAGCAGCGAACTCTAAGGAAAAAGAAATGTTTAAGTGGCTTAAGAGTCCACATTCTGATTCTTAGTGGGTATAAATTGGTAGAACATTAAGAGCAACTCAACTCTTTGTCAAGTCATGGCAGTCGCATGTTTGATTGGGATTTCCCCCCTTAAAATTCCACCCTCTGAAATATAGCCAGGAGTTAGCCCTAAGTGTTCCATATAAACTACAGTTTATATGGAAGTTTATGGGGCTGAGTTAGCTGTTTGTGATCATTTATTCCTGGATGTTATTCTTATGGAAATTTTATTGAGTTAATATTCCTGTTGGGTGAGGACCACTTTACTGTTCATTTTAAAGAAAGTGTAAAATAGAAGCTGAATCACTATTTCAGCAAGTATTTTTGAGTAACCTAGTTTTTACTGGACTTAAATGTATTGGAAAAACAAGGACATTCAGGTTTGATTAGGCTTTTCTCACAACTGAATAAGGTGTTAGACTCCAAAAATCTCATGGCAGGTGAAAGAAGCAAAAATGAAAGCAAGTCAGGTTTTGTCCTGAGGAGCAGTAGGTAGGGGTAGGAAAATCAGCAATTAAGGAAATACTTTGGCTCTCCCTCTCTGGATTTTCCATGGAGAGAGAATTCATCTGCCTAAAGGAAGTATGTTTTGAGCTTGAAACCACTGTTTTGAGTCTGGCAGTGCTAGAAATGTTACTTTCAGCAGCATGTGATTAGATTCACGTTCTCTTCTCTTTTGGGACATTTTCCTAAGCTTTTTCTTCAGAAGTAGGGATGGATCTTGCTTGCCTCCAAGGTTCAGGTGTGTCTTGCCTCCCCCATGTCTCAGCATGTCTCTTTCTGCCTTCCTGAGCTGGCAAGGGTTTAGGAGCACCCACAGAGCTGTTTGGGGTCACTGGTTTCAGGATGAAATGGTCCTACAGTAGCTTACTATGAATTGTGTTTTGTGGGGCATCTGTAGTTCTCACTTAGTATTTGAAAGTGCTTTGAACAGAGGTAGTTTCTTCATGCTTGTGTTTGTGTCTTCTGAGGTGCATCTTTTCAGGAGTTGCAACCCCTTTAGCTGTTCCAGCAACAACAAAGAGCTGGTTCATCAATGTTAGAGGCCTGGAGTGAATCACAGTGATGGTAGCAAAACCTTCAACTGGTTTTAAATTGGCAAGACTGTCAAAGAGGAGGTTGCTTTGAATCCCTCATGGAATTTGGCCTGTCTCATCTCAGCCCTGTTTCCCTGGAGAGCTGAAAGCATGAGATCCCTGCTGACTACCTCCCCTGTGGTCTCTTGTGCCAGATGGGTTCCAGGCATAGAAGGAAGGCTGCCTTGTAGTGGACAACTGCCTTGTGGTAGTGTACAGACAGTTCTGTTCAGCTGTGAGCCAAAAAATCCTCGGTAGGTGTGAGGTGTGTTAGCGTACTATCTGTCCCCTTAATCAGCTGGGCAGAAAACTAGGCTCAAATTGACTTCACGGATTACTAGTAAAGGTTTTGAAGAACGTAACAGAACAAGGAGCTGGACCCAAATATCCCACTTCCCTACTTCTTTAGGAAGTCTGGTCAGGCTTGGTATGACTTCTCCTTTCAAATACTAGGGGAAAGCCAGTTTCACAGGATAAACACTGCATTCGTAATGGGGTTGTGCTTATGATGGAGCTTGTTGCTTTGGTGTGAGGTAGCATTAGATAAGCAGCCTCCAAAAAGTTAGATGATGTCTTTTAAAAGACAGTAATGATGTGAATTGTTAACTTGGGATCAGTAGTGTGCCAAGAGTGTGCAAATTTTCCAAGGACTTAACCTCAAATATGATTACGAAGCAATTGCTTATAAACCCATTCCAAAATTGCTCTGTTAACTCCAGTCTCTTCTGTGTTTTAATAAATTGCTGTTCCTTTATCTCGAATGCAGACTAAGAGCTCAGCTGAATTACCACAGCCTCTTTCTGTGTCATCTGTGTCGCTGCACATTCTGGTTCACAGCTCAAATAGTACAGATGTAGCAAATCAGCATTGAATTGTATTACCTGAATTGCATAAGGAAGCTTGAATTATTCTGGACTGCAGCCAGAGCTTTTAGCCTTGTGCTTTCCTAAATATCAATGTGAAATCGTTATTTGTTAAAAAAACTAAATGTGTGCATGCCTGTAAAGGGCCCTCATGGCCCCTGTGCATTTCAGAGCAAGGTGAGGGGAAGAGTTTCTCGGCTTGGGTAGGTTTTTGTGCTGCAAGTAGCTTATCTAAAGGAAAAAGGCTTATGTCAAGGAGGCTTGTGTCTCTGATAAACCTCTTTTTCCATTTGGGGTTTACACAAGCAGCAGGGTGCCGGCTTTCTAGGCTGAGATGCAGGCAACACTCCACTTTGACAGTCACAGGTCACTATGGCATAGTACCCAGCTTTCATGCATCATTCAGGGTTCACTCCTCAACGAAAGATATCCATGGCCATATTTCTGCACACTAATTTATGACTTGGCCAATTCCAAGTCCTTTGTTGCATTCATTGCACTGTTGAGAAGTCAGTAGCTCCTGTGGAAGAGCTGTGACTGCAGCTCCCCTGGTCTCAACATTGACCTATTTCTTACCTTTCTTTTGCTTGCTTTTACTCCCTACTTACATTCCAAGGACAAATTTTAGATTGTATTTCTCTTTCTCTAGTCTGGTAGAGTAAATGATGATGGAGATAAAGGTATGAGTTTCTTAATGAGGAAGGAATTCAATATGTAAGAAATAGGATGTGTTTGGCAGACTTTTGATAGAGGTCTAAACGTGATACACAAAGCCAAGATGACACTCAAGACTTGTAATTCTTCAATAGAGGGAGCTGCTTTAGTTTCCAAAGTGAATTCTGCACTTTTCTTTTGTGCATGAGGGCAGCGCTAGCCAGGAAAATTTGTTAGCCTGGAAAGTGTGACACTGGGAAACATTAAAGAGTTGCAAGAAGGTATTACAAGGACAGCATGCTGAATTTAATAATTAAAAAAGAAGTAGTGTTACTATACTGCTCCTACTGCAGCAATTTGACTGGCAGAAATCTTGAGACAGCATGTAGATGAGGCCCCAGACGGTCACCTGGTATAAAATATTGCTATGACTGAAAAAGATTATATATGTGGTTTACATTCTTCAGGAAAAGACCTGGCCCTTTCCCCTTGTAGCACTGCAGTATAACAAAGTAAAATAATAACTACCTTGGACAAAATTTTACGGGTTTGTGTGACCCCTTTCTTGTTGGCCATACCTGTCTGCAGTCTGAAATGTTCCTTTAATATATGATTAAAAGGTGTGCATGCATGTACGTGTGTATACCTCTAAACCTATATGTAGATCTAGAAGCAGGAGATGAACAGCTTTTACTAAATAGCTGAGTTGTATCATCCTGTAGTGACAAAGCATCTCATCCCTTTCTTAGTTCTGGAATGATCAGTTATAGTCAGTTCTTTATTCACTGCTCATGGCCTCAAAAGCAATATACACAAAGAGAGAAATTAATTTATTTTCTGGAGAGCAGAAGTGATAGTCAGAAGGCCTAATTAGAGTGCCCTTGGCCCTCAAAACATGCAGTTAGACTGCAGCAGGAAAAGAGACACCACATAATTCAAAATGAATCCTTTAGCATTTGATCCTGAAGAATAGCATCATCGTGTTCCTGGTATGCCTTCAAAGGAAATTTAGTGTAGGCTTTTCTCCCATGTACCGAATAGAAGCATTCATTTTCCTTCCCCATCTCCAGCTGATTCATTTAGACACTGACTGTTATTTACTTTTCAGTTTCCTAAATTTATTTTCTTTTAGTTTAGCAGAAGACCTGGCAGTGTGCCATGTTCATATTGATTTATTAAAAAAGAGAAGAAAAAAGAAAATGAACGCAGTTGAGTATCCAGCTCTGCTGGAATTTATTTGTGGTGTCAGGGAACACTTCTTTGTTACAAGATCACAGGTTCTTTTAAGATAACACACTTCAGCTATACATTTCTCTCTCCAGCAGCAAAGAATCATGTTTTCAAAGGGGATAGGAGAAATACTGGGATCGAGGACTGTGGAGAACATGATATACATTGTAAAAGGCCTGTAAAACAAATTATTTAGGCTGACTGTGGGTAGAGTTGTTTTTCCTCAGGATGTCTGCTCATGGGACTTACTGAGTCTTTTCTGTGAAGAGCTCAACACTTTTCAAGCTCAGGTCCAAACTTCTGCTATGAAATTTTTCAAAGATTTGGAATACCTGCTGCTGAACAGGATGAGCATCTGCAAACAGCTGTGTTCTTTCATTTTCCTCCCTCTTACCCATACTTTCTCTATTCCTGAGTCGTGTCTGCTCCTACACTTTTCTCGTTATATTCTGTTGCCACATAATACTGTTTGTGTCCGACCTGCTACCTTGCTTGACCTTTCATTTGCCTTCATCGTCTTGTGCAATGAGTAATTGTCATTCCAAGCCCTGGGGCTTCCCCAGTCCCATCTGTTTAAAGGCTGTAGCACACTGTTACCTGCACTGCATTACTTCATCATGAGGAAACATGGCCAAATGTTCATATTGCAGTTCTCCCTAAAGAGAAAAAGCAAAGCTTTCCTTTTGCTTCACTGAGTTCCCTGTGTGTGAGCTGGAATGGACTGCCAGTGTCACTGATTCTCCATCTCAATTTGAAATCTTGCTTGGGGAAGGAAAGAAGAAATTCTCCTTCAAGTTACAGAGTTCTATTGTCAGGGGCAGTAAAGCACTTGGGGTGGGATTTATGTCTCAGGGGCTGATAACAGCACTGTTCCAAAATAAGTCTTTCAGTGCTAACATCTGCTCTCGGTTTTGTTTCTCTTTGCCCTCGTTTAGAATTTGGAATGGTTTCCCTGATATTTTCCGCAGCGTTGGCCTATTTCCCCTCACGCCCTCCATTCCCTCCCAGCGTGGCTGCAGCGAGTCAACGACTCAGCTACAGGAGAAGTTTTTGCAGACTCTTAAGGTAGGACTTCATTTGGTTTCCACGTCAAAGCAGATCAGCACCTAAATAAATAAAGCCAAGTGTGCCTTAATCTTCTCATTGAGCAAACAAGTTGGTTTGTAGTGCTTTTAAACAAAATAAAATTAAATATTCATGGTGAGACATAAAAGGATGCTAACTGCTAAAAAGCAGACATTAAATTTTAAATCACTGGGTATATCTCAAGCCTTCACACCGAAGTCCTTCAGCACCAACACTGCTTTAGTCATCCTGTTAGCACAGCTTTTCTCATGCAATGCTTCTGTTACATTAGGTTGTACAAGATCGTTGACAGTGCTGTGAGATAACAATGAACAACACTGGGCAAAACCAACTAATAAGCAACTTTTGTCTGTGCTTATTATATTGGAATGAATTTGAGGTTTGCTTGTTATTTGAATGATTGTTCAGCTGCTTTCATTCAGCCATGGAAGCAATGAATGAACTATCTGAAGCCATTATATGCTCTATTAAATCTCATTACTTGTATACTAAAATATGAAGTGGGAATAGGAAATGTGTCTCAGGTGTGTTTCTGGACAGGTTCAAAGGTGAGTAAGCTTCCTTTAAATTTTTATGTTTAAAAGAAAGAAAAGAGTTATAAACAAAGTGACATCTCCAACTTTGCGACTTCTCCCACTTGGGCCTTTTTGATAAGACAGTCTCACTTTCCCCCAGAGTTTGTAGTGTCTTGTACAATGGGAGTGTGATTTCAGAGGAGGAGCTAAAGCAACAGTAATACTAAAGGTGAATTACTGTGAAGGCCAGTGCCCTGTATGTGATACAGCACAGATGAACCTTCTGAGGCAAAGAACTGCTCCCATGATAGGGAGTGTTGCTAACTTCACTGGGCCCTTCAGACTCTTCCTGTAATTTTTTGCTGAGTGATGTAGTGGTAGGAGCTGAATCTGCATACAAAGGGCTGCTTGAAACTTGATAATTGTGGAGCTTTAGACATTTAGTTATTACAGACCTACTGTGGCCTGTACTTTCAATAAGTGCATTTAGAGGCCTAACAAACAACTCATCCCTTGTTGTCATTGGGTTGTTTTTTACTTTTGTTGTTGGAGGCTTGCTTTTTTATTTTGGGGGAGTCAGTAGTTGGCAAGATGCTTAATCCTATGTGTTCATCTTGGGGCAAGCTGGCAGTGGGGAGAAGGTGTGAGTATAGCTGTCTGGTTAGTCTGGAAAGTGACCTACTGAGGATATTAAAAAATAGCAATTCCCCTAAGGACACTTAGCACACACAACAATGCTGTTATGCACCCAAGCTGATGTGCAGTTAGACCCTGCCTGAGGGCTGTGTTGTAAAAATGTTGCTGTTGCACAGAAATCCAAACAGCAACTGACTCTGCAGGTGAAATATAAAATTTTTGTTGACAGCGCTCCATTTGGGAGTTCTGTAACCGTTAGATTCCACCTTCAAAGTGTTGTAAACAGTGGACCTGAGATACTGGTAAGGTCAGGAGGTAAACAGCAAAGCTGGCTTACTATTCACAGTCAATTAAACTTAAGAAAACAAACTGGACTCTTAAATAACAAGCATAGTTTATAGTGTCTGCAAGAACCACGAGAGTTTTTTACAAATGTGTATAGGTAGGTTATTAGACCTCCCTTCCCTCTGGTCTTTATGCATTCTTGCATGCTACCCTTTATCAAAGGCACTTCTTCATTCCTCTGTACATGAAACAATCAACAGTTCATCATTAAGCCCACTTATCTTGGGGTACCTTTCAGCAATAATCCATCAACCAAGGGGATTTTATAAAAGAAAATGGTATCTGCCATGCTTCAAGAGGAATCCATCATCTGGTACATTAGGCTTCTAAGCTCTGTCGCCTGCCTAATCTAGGCTTCATAATTCTTGGCTCAGAGAGCCTTTCTTTTGACTTAGTGGTGTAGACTGAAGGTAACCAGCAGATGAGTACCAGGAAATTATTATTTCCCCTTTTTGTTTACTTATCCTCTGGCATAAGAACTGTGTGTAAAGAATTTAGGATGTGTATGGGCTGGTGGGCTGCACCGAAAACATTCATTAGAATTGAGATGTTCATCATTTCCCTCTTCTCTCCCTCAAGCTGCAGTTCTGTTACTTCAGAATAAAGCAATGTAGCATAGCTGTACCATTGAAGACATTGACCTTTCTTCCTTGGACACCAAAGGGATCTATCACATCCTTGCAACTCCCACACTCCCTCATGACTTCAGGTCCTTGAGCAGTCATCCCACACAAGCTGCTTCTTGCAGAGTTGTATTGTACCATCCACAGAGGTCAGCCATCCCTGTAGGCTGTTTTTTGGGGACTTGCTGAGGAATTTGATTCTTCTTCCCAATTTGGAGGATTCCTGCTTCTGACAGATTGTAACAATTAGCTGATCTCTGGTTATCTCTTGAGACAACTCTCTCAGCCTGCAGTGGGAGACGACAGATTAGTCATGGTTTGGGAGCTCAGCCCAAATCTTTTAGCAGTCTATCACAAACTATGACAGGTGTACTTTGAATTTCCATTAGAAGTTTGGTGCCCTTTTTCAGTTTCTTGGGTGAAGCAAATAACTTTTTTTCCCCCCTCAGTTCAGAATATGCCACAAACTTCAATGGAAAAAATCCCAATACGAATAAATAGTTGATAAGTCTTAAAATCTGAACTAAGAAAACTTGTTGTGAATTTTGCTTTTAAGTAATTAGTTACATTTAGCCAATTATGTGCTTTTTATATTTTCAAGAGGCTATGTAAACAGTTTTGAAATTTTGTAACAGGGTTTTTATGAATAATTATTTCTTTAATGAAATTTTCATGACATCTCCATCCAGTAATGGAAACTGCTCATAGCATGCCTGATGTTAATAGGCACTGTCAAAGTCGTTCTGCAAATGATGACTGACTTTGACTGGGCTCCCCTCTGAACCAGCCTGTCTTAAAGATTCTCGTGGCATTAGATAGGTTTCTGAAGAAAACACAGAAGGAAAAATCAATTTGTATTCCAGCAGAATAGTTTAACAGAGAGGCTAATGCTGATATCGCGTCATAAGGGCTGATAGGATGGAAAACAGTGTGTGTTCAGCAACTGATGGTGTGACAGACAGCACATTTTTCTATTTTCAGTGAAGCAATTGCAAAATTGCAAAAACAAATACAAGTGACTGGAGCCATGAAAAGTGGAGCTGCTCCTGAAGATGTATGTTTCAAATAGCTTTAGGACTTAATGTAGCCAGCACTAGCTATTTCTGGACCGGGGCAGAATGACATCTGGTGGTCAGTGCCACTTTATCACTGCTTATACTGGAGACTAGGCAGTGGCAGCCTCTGCCACTTGAGGTGTTGTGATGCAGAGCTGGTTCTCTGGTATTGGTACTAGGAGTTGGACGTGGCACACAGCAGCTATCTCACATGACAGTCTATCTCTGCTTGCGTTACAGATGACAAATACACCACAGGAGATTTTGGTCAATTAAATCACAAGGTGCTCGCCCCCTCAAAAGTGGCTTTTAAGTGAAGATGAAGTTCAGATAGCCAAAAATTTGGAATATTCAGCAAGTGTTGTTTTGGAAGACTGCATTCGGACTTGTTCCTGCTTTGCAACCTCCAACATGGTTATTGTCCATGCAAAATTCCTTTTTATTTTATTCTACAGATGTGAATTGCCTTTCACATGGATAGTGTTAAATAGTATCAGATGCCAAGGTGATACAAGACAGACTAGGATAAGACTAGGGCGTTCTTAAGAGAGAAAAAAAGTCAGGCAGACAGTAAGATTCAGAGAAATATAACTAATGTGGAGAAGAGCTGAAAGTTTGGGAGTTGTTTTTCTTCGCACTAAAACATAAATCTGACACAAATGATATTGAAAGAGGAGGCTATGTTCATGTGATGGAAATGTATTATTCAAGAAGAGGATGTGTGAAAAAGAACAGTGCAAAGAAGCACTGGCTGGTGTGCTGTGTGTGGATCATCTAGGGGAGTAAAGCAGCATAAGCTGCAAACCTCTGAATGTTTTGGAGAATATTTGAATCTCGTTCTCTCCCTCTTGGCTTTCCTAGCTGCGTGCTATCAAATTGCCACTGCATGCCAAGGAACTGGTACTGATGGGGATCAATTTTATGTAAATTGTTTGGGATTGGAGGGAGCCACATTTTGTGGTTACACAGATAACCCATGGGATAACTGACCTTGGAATCACTGTAAAAATCTCTTCACTTTAAAATATCATTGTTGCAGAGTCTGAAGTATATTTTCTGATTTTCTTCCCAAATTGAAACATTTTTGAGGAAAAGTTGGATGTCTCTTAGCAAAGATTTCACATTTGCTTTCATTTACAGTGGGTGGGGGAAGTTGTTGGTGGCATTTGTCTGCCAACTCCTGTTTAGCGATGTGCTACGAAGATGATGACACAGCTTTGACTGCTTCACCTTCACTGAATACTAAAGGTTGAAAAATTTTAATTGGGGGGAAAAAGCAAACACATCAGCTATTTAGAGCACAATATTATACTTCTCTCTGTTTTTTGCCTGTTCAAATTGTCAAAATTTTCCACTCGTGCAACTGTACCCATCTCATTTCCAGAGCTCTCCCTGCCTTTCACCAAAATAAAGAGAAGTAAAACAGGTTTGGGTTTCCTTTATTTTTCTTTTGAAATTCCAGTTCAGGAGGCGTGATTATCTGATTTTATTCTTGAAATTTGCTTTTCATCATTTAAATTAGTGCTTATTATTCTTAACATACACTTAGGCTAAGTAGGCTGCCCATGCAAATACATGGAAGAATTGCTTGCAGAAATGAGAAACACATGAGCCCAGCATGTTCCAGAAGTCTCTGAACTATGGAAAGACTGGCTTTTTCTATTATCACAGTGCTAAGGCAGTAACATATCAGCCACTGGAATTTCAGTGACATGGCCGGATGCCTTTCTTCTTTTTCCTGGCTCACTCCTCCTTCAGACCTTTGCTATTTTTCTTGATGGGCAGAATATAGAATCTAGGGTGTCATTTCCTCTACTAGCTAATCTTAGTGTAATTTCTAATACAAGCAGCAGCTAATTGCAATGTTTTGTCTTCACAGCAATTTCCGATTCTTGATGATTGCTTTAGCCTATGCCATACCACTGGGTGTTTTCTCTGGCTGGTCTGGTGTTCTGGATTTGATATTAACACCTGTGCATGTGAGCCAAGTAAGTATCTCCTGACTGATACTCATCAGCTGTTTTTTAAGTGGCAAGTTTGTATTTTGTAATAGCGTACAGTTTTACCAGGTTTTTATGTGTAAGCTGTTATTAGTACTTATGGACCACTTTTCTGCTTGAAATTTTGAACAAAATGAGCTGTAGCTTTGGCATCCGGAACTGTCACAATTCCCCCACTGACTCTCCATCAGTGGTGAGTGTTTTCAGAACTGTACACACCTTTTGACAAGAAGGAGGAGGCAGGTAAACAAATGGGAGTATTGTTGGCTGCTGCACCTTTAGTGAAAGAAAATAATGTGTGCCCTGTGCAAAAGATGAAGTGGGGAGAAGATGATTTCTAAGCTTTTGAGAGAGTATTAGAAAAAAACAGAGGACATTACTCAGATTCTATAAAGAGAGGTCACATTTAGGGCATAGAGTACTTAGTCATACTTTCTTGTAGTGAATTTATTTCCTTTCCTAGAAAAAGCTTCAGATTGTTGTCAGGGGCTGTTAGCAGTTTGCAGCTCCAGCACACCATTTGTTTTGAAAGTAACCTCATTGTATTTTCTCAGCTTTAACACATTTCTCTATGTTTTGTTTTGTTTTCTTTTTCCTGTCAGGTGGATGCAGGCTGGATTGGATTTTGGTCTATAGTTGGAGGTTGTGTTGTTGGCATAGCAATGGCAAGGTAGGAATAATTACAGGTCCTTCCCCATTTCTTTAACTGTGAATTCTCATTTAGCTTATCCTCTTAATAGCATAACTTGTTTTCTCTCATCTTCTCGAAACTTGAAATGGAAAACGCATTCTGGGGTTATGGTGTGTTTCTTGTGGAGCAATAATTTGTACCATGTTAGTGGCTGCTGGGGATTGAGAACTCCACCTGAACTTGGCAAGTCAGAGTGTTACTCCTGACAAAGACTTCCTGTATGCTGCTTTTAAACACAGCTCTTGTGAATTCAGCTGCCTGTCATGAGGGAGAACCTGTTGTAGCACATTTGGAAAGCATTGAAGAAATTAATGCCTGTCTTCTTCCATCAACACTTTTGGGTATACTGATTCCCAAAGGGATATAGGGAATATTGCACAGGCAGCCTACCCACAATAATGTTATGTTCCTCCACAGAGAAATTAGTCTGGGACCATTTTGGCCATATTGCTGAATTCCTGTATAGCCTATTTCTTGCTGTGCTCCTATGGGCTACAGTATGGGTGTATCTATGCTCTTTATAAATCCAAACACAGCTCTCTCTGGCCATCATGCAGCAAGAAATGGATTGCCCTTCCAAAAGGCTCCTGCTTTTTCTTCATTGAAGAAGGAATTAGGAAAGGGGATGGGAGGAGGGAGAAAAAGTCCTTCAGGAGATACTTGAGCAGTGAATTTATCAAACTGCTTAAAACCAGTCATATGTTCTACTTGCATCTGAGCTTTGTCCTGACTTCTCTGTGTCCACTCCTTCGAGTCCAGTTCTGCAGTTCCAGTCTCTGCAGAGTTTAGTGCAAGTGCAGAGATCTGTAATTGTTGCAGTCATTGAGGGATTGTGGACACAGGGAGTCATCTTTTTAGGATAGAAATTGAAACTCTCTTTTTTCACTGTCTGTGCTTCATCAGAGTACACAATGCATAAAGAAATGTGAGGTTTCTCATCCTGACATTTTGCAGGCTGCCTAGCAACTGCAGCAGGGAGAGGAAAAAACTCCTGACCTAGGAAAAAGAAGCAAGAGCTTCTCTCCCATCCAGTCCAGATGTAGGCCAAAGGACTTAATCTATCGAAACAAAGTTCATGGCCTGAAAAAAAAGAGTTGATTTTGACTGGCTCAGCTCAGATACGAGGTTTTCTCAGTAAGTGAAGTAAATGTTTAAAACCAGCTGCTGTAAATGACACATGCTATAGCAGGTTGCATGCTGAAGCAGGTAGCATGCCAGTTTAATCTTTTCCATCATGACTTAATCCCTAGCATATTTGCAACATCTCAGCTGTTAGAGGGGCACCCTTAGTAGCTCACTTAACTTTGTTAGGAGAGAATCTGCTGACTCAATGCCAACATGCAAATCTCTATCTTTATGGTAGATTAATTTATTTAATATATTGCCTCAGTTAAGTTTCATGAAATGCTGACAGTCTCTTTAACTGCTTCAAAATTGATTTCAAACCTTGTTGAATACCTGTATTTTGTGGCATTCAGTAAATCTAAAAAATACCAACAGTCTGTCTCCAAATATATCTTTCTTACTTGGGCGATACACAGTTCAAATGGGAGGGTTTGCATACAGAAAGGGAGGGAGGAGGTGATTTGTCACTCCTGATGGATGACTCTCCCTCCTAGGCCTATTCAGTATTTATCTGTGTAGGGTTGAATCAATGACGAGTCTGACTGTAATCTGCTGAAAGTTGTAATTAGGAAAATTAAGTAATGATTCTTGTCAAAGCTGACAAGTTGATATATTTCAGTGTCAGAACTGTGATTTGCCGAGCAAGCAGCTCTCTCCCTTAACCACCTCTCATGAAGCTGTTAGTTTTGGGGTGGGTTTTTTCCCTTTTTTTTTTCCCCTGCTAATTTGTCAAATAGGTGCAGTATAGGAATTTGCTCCTTCTATTTTTGTCAATGCAGATCTATAATTTAGAACCCTTAACAACCTGAGCATTGTCCTGGAGCATTTGGTCAGGCACATCACAGTAGGTGTTAAATCATCTATATTTAAAGTAATGCCCAGTTTAGGAATTTGTTTATCTATCTCATTTTCAAAATGGTGCAAGTTTTCCTTAGCATTATACATAAATCCTCCTGCTCTCCACCCACTGCTGTCCTGATAGCCATGAACTTAGATGTTTTGCTAATTTGTGTGATGCATTTTCATAATTGAAAAGCCTGGGCTACCTTGGGCAGCTGGCAGGTGCTGTACCCTTTGCTGGCAGCTTTCAAATGCTACTGATTTGAAGAAAAGCAGTGTCAAAAGACTGACATTCATATCATTGCATGGAAACATAAATCTATTCCCTTTTCTCAGATTATTTTTTTTTTCAATTTTTTTTCCCCACATTTGCCAATGATCATAGATGCTTCTGAGGTTTTGTCCTCTGCAGCTCAGTTTTTCTTCCCACTTCTAACCTGCAGGGTAGTAAAAATGCTGAAACTCTATGGCATAGTGATAATTTCCTTAGCAACAGACAGTGTTGTCAGCAATGCAGGTCTGTGATTTTAACTGTAGGATGCAGCCTAGGGCTGCACCTGCTGAGATGCTGGAGACTTACCAGCAGTAGGCTCAGAGGTCTATATCTGGGTAAGTATACACCTTCTCTCCTGTTGTGCCTACTCTTTTAGCAGCTGCAGACATCCCCTAACACAATGGGTGATGAAGAAGGGTTTAAACAGAACAGAGGATTTTGAAAACAGATTCTGGGTTCAGAGGGTAAAAGTGATTTCTTGCATTTTTTTGATTGAAACAAGTATTCTGAAGAGTGGAGTAGATTTACAGTCATCTTTATTCTCATGTAACCAGACAAGAAGTCGTCCCTCAATTACCAAGTTCACTTTAAGTTGCTATGTAATTTTTTCCCCATTATTTCCGTTGCTGGCTGTGTTCAGTAGCTGCATAAACCTTTACCTTTGGGGCACATTTGACCCTTTTGGAGTCCTGTGATATCTGAGAGCTCCTTGGAGCACACTGCTACCCAGATGAGGATCTTTGTGTCTAAAAGAGTTGCAGCTGCTCAGTAAAGGTAGATATTTTCTCCACTTATCTGTTGTGAATGATTTAGATGCATATCATCCTCCTATCCCTACACATGCCTGGTGGTAGGATAGAGATAGAGCATCTCCTAGTGATCACCTCCAGACATGTTGCCTGTGAATGTCCCTCCCAGAAGGCTGATATTTCTCACACTGTGTCTCATTAGATTGGATCTACATCACTGCATTTCCCTGTAAGGACAGGGAGTTGTGACATTGTCTGACAGTAGGCAAAGTGGGGAGTCTCTCTGGAAGAAGATGAAAGTTTGCACTTTGAGGTGCTTCTGCAAAGCATTTCAAATTGCTGATTGTGACCCTAGTGATCCCAAAGAATAATTAAAGAAACTGGCAAACCAGTGAAGTGATCCTGATTGCTGGATTGGATTGTCAGAAAAAACCCAACAGTGGCAGCTGACCTCTGGCTATTGGAGATGAATGCATAAGCCACTTGAACACTGCAGTCATAAACATTTAAGATTATATGCAGCATTGATCTCCCACTACTGCTTATTGAATTACTCACTGCTAAATTCAGTGTGGAATTAAAGCAGAGGGAGAATCAAAATAAGAGAAAAAAGAAGTTGGTTTGGGAGGGTGAGGGGTCTTTGATTGTATTAGTCCTACATCTCTTAGAGTATGTATGGAGCTGAGGTTCTCAGTTCTCAAAATGTTGGTAGCATTATCTGTTTTATGAAATAAGCTATAAGGTACCTGCTTGTAAGGTGATCTTTGTCAGGGCAGAGAAGACAGCTGATGGACAGACAAATTTCATCATGGACCAACCTAGGTGGATTGTGCTACCATTAGCTGAATCAAGGTAGGAGGCTGTGAGGGCAGAAGTTATACTTTAGACATACTTACCTAACCCATCCATCCCAAAATCACATCTCCTAAGCAGGAGATTATAGAAAATTACTCATGAATAAATGACATTGTCGTTTCTAATATATCATTTTTAGTATCTAGGTTGAAATCCCTTTTGAAAAGAGCAGTTGCACTGATAATTACACCATGCGAGCGCTGCTCAAATGCATCCTGTCTCCTTGAAAGAAAAAGGGAAAAAAGACGAAAAAAGCAATTGTACCATCAGGTGGTATAAAGATCATATTTCTCTTTGAATAACAGCCAGACTGCCCAAGGACTTCTGGGGATGTCTAGGAGAGGAGTCGCACTAAGCTCTTTGTTTCTGTAAACATTTCTACTCAAAACAGCCACTGTCAGGGTGACCTCATGTGTAAAGAGTTCCTCCTCTGCCTAAGCCACTAAGAGCTTCATCACCAGTGCATCCAAGGGTTCAGAAGCTGTTCCTTGTCATCTTCATCTAATGATTCTGGTATTTGGAGTTTTGTCATTTTCCACAGAAATTAGTCTTGACACTTAACTATGTCTTGAATGAGTTGTGTCAGCCTCCTCATATGCTAATGGAGCACTGTGTCTGCCAAGGGAGACTGGCAAATGCTGGCAAAACAGTGATGGAAGTAGTGGTGTGAGATTGTGTCCAACAAATGCGATAGGAAGAAACAATCCTTCCTGTATACCAAGTGTTTTCAATTGATGCCTTGAGAATTGTTCTGGTTTGATTGTTATCTCGTGACAGCTGAAAAATTCATGGCTCTTCATCTCGACAGCTGGAACTATCACCATTCTATAAAAACGTGGTTTTTTCTATTTCTGGAAATGAGAAACAACTTTTTAAATTGTTTTTATAGTCTGTAGAAATGTTTAATGAGAATATACTGAATTAATTGTCAAGCATCATATTTAAATAATATGAAAATCAGCATTCATACTGCTCTGATCTGTGCTTTTATTTTAGATTTGCAGATTTTATCAGGGGCATGCTGAAGTTTATACTGCTGCTGCTTTTATCTGGAGCAACATTAGCATCAACCTGGTTCACTCTCACCTGTCTAACTAGTGTCACTCATCTGCCTTTAACCACAGGTATTGACAATTATTTTAATTCCTATTCTTTATAATTGATATTGAAGGCAAATATTTGCAGTCTTAAATGAACTGTCATATAACCTGGTTTGGTATCTTTAGTAATACAGTAGTTTTACCAAGATTGAGAAAAACCCCAATGTTTAGAAAACATATTAAATATGAAATATATTTACCAGCTTTGAATAACTTCATTAAAAGATTAAATACTTAAAGCAATAATGAGAACATGGAATCCACATGTAATTTGATTTGGGGACAAAGTGTTTTTCTGTTTTGAGTGTTTAAGTATATCAGGGGTGAGAAATAAACCAAGAGAAATCATAGAATCATGGAATTTAAGGGTTGGAATGGACCTTACAGATAATCTAGTCCCAGCCTCCTATCCCATGGGCAGGGACACCTCATCCAGCC